GCAGGCAACCCGGCTAATTCTAGAATGCAAATTTTCTAGGGCGTTATTTTGACATGTTGGGAATGTTGGCCACTGTATTGAGGACTCAATTTCCGACTTATACATGTAAAAATTAATTTTCTAAGATCATTTTGATGAAGTAAGAAAAAGTTTACTAGATACCTTACAATGAAATAATCAGCTCAGATTGAGACGCATTTTGGTAGTAGTGTCAAAAATGGTCATATTTGCATGAAATAGACTTGTAAAAATAGCACCCGGCCAGCAGCAGGAGCAGAACCGCTCGGCCGCTCTGTGGCATCCAGACCGGCGGCTGGCCCAGGTGGCCCAGGGTGTCATTCACTCGTCGGGGGGTAATAAAGCTATTGTGCACCTGCAGTGATAGTTTGACAACAGCGCAGCCCTGCGTCGGTCCATCTGCCGAGGAGTCCGCCTGTCTCGGCAGCGGCCTGGGCGCGGGGTATCGCCAGGCCCGGCCGGAGGGGTCGCTTACTTTTGTCACGCATAGTACAGCAGCCGTCTGATTCCGAACACTGCTTCGTCGCTGTGTCTCTCTCGCACCCCTACGGACCGCCCCATGAGTGCGAGAGAGACAGAGCGACGAAAGCAGTGCTCGGATTCAGTCGGCAGAGTCAGAGAGTCGTTTTCGTCGCTCTGTCTCTCTCGCACTCCTGGGGCGGTCCGTTGGGGTGCGAGAGAGACAGAGCGACGAAGCAGTGTTCGGAATGAGACGGCTGGCTAGGCCGCGGCGCTTCCGAGCAGTGCTCTGTCTCTGTCGCGGCCGCGTGGGTGGCACCGCGACAGAGTGAGACGGCTTCGGCGTGCGGGCCTAGTGGGCCGGCCGCGTCGACAGAGACAGCCCATGACGTGCTCTCAATCAGGCTGCCGGAGCATGGCGGGCATGGCGGCATGGCTCGGCGAGCCTTGCCGGGGACCGCGAAGGCAGCGCGCAGCGCAGCGCAGCGCCGAGGAGGGGAAGGGCGTGTATTTATTTCCCGGCGGTTGCAGAACCAGCAGAACGGTCACCAACGGTCACGTGGGCAGCGTAACGCCAAACACAACACGCGGGGCGGGGGGCGGGGCGGGGCGGGGCGGGGTGCAAGTCTCTCTTTTATGTAACCCGCGCAATCCATGATACGTCGTGCAATCCGCGCTCGCGTTGCAACCGCTGCGGGAAAATTTGAAAAGGCGGCTTGGCTTTGGCTGCGCAGCGGCGGCGGTGGCAGCGGCTGTTGCAACCGTAGACGCGGATGCACTTCGAGCGGCGGGTGGACACGTCGCCTGCGAGGCCACGGAGGCCACGGGGGCCACGCAGGTCGCGGACGGCAATCTCACCACCATCACGGATTTTATTATTTTCGCCAACGACTCGCTCGCTATGCTGTAAGGGTTCCAAGGTTACGGGGCGCAAAGTTCAGCGAAATGCAACGACACTGCGGGTCGCCCGGCCGCCGGAAGTCGTCGGCCGAGGGAGGCTGGAGAGAGAGGTCACAGTGGGCCAGAAGACCGGTGGAGGCGGCTGAAACTCCAGACGCGTTTTGAGCTCCAGCGTCGCTATGGGACTCGAAACGAACGTGTGACCCCACCAATGGATTGCTCTCCGAACGAGGAATTCATTGGTGGGGTCACACGCTCGGTTCGAGTCCTGTTTAGCGACTCTGGAGCTCAAGACACGTCCTAGTGTTTTGGCCGCTTGTGCCGGTCTTCTGGCCCACTGTGCGTTGCATCATCCTCGGAGGCCCTTCCGAACAACAACATAGTAAGCACACTTACTTTTGCGCCAAATCCCTATATACTCTGACCAGAAAACGAAGAGCCCTGGGTCCTCGCGGTCGAGGGCTACCTGCAATGCTATCCAAGGCGGCAGATGCCATAAACCGCGAGAACTCAGGGCTCTTCGTTTTCTGTTCAGAGTATAGAGATCGCTCCAGTCCAACCGCGCGGCCGGCTGCTGTCTCACGCAGGGAATTGCCCCTCTGCCTCACCTGGTTGCTGACCTGGCCAGAAAAGCTGCGCTGTTTTCCTCGCAGTCAAAGCGAGCCAGCCTGCCGGCGCCTGTCGGGATGTCCGGGGCCGGGACTTCCCTGAGGGATGAAATTCGCGGGAAGCCGTGCCATCACGCCGCGCTGCGGCCCAGCCATTGGCCCCGGCCACGCGACACGCCGCGCGCACGCAGTCACGCATGCACCAGCAGACTGCGTCCGAGAGCCGTTTTCGTCGCTCTGTCTCTCTCGCACCCACACGGGACGCGCCACGAGTGCGAGAGAGACCCCGTGTGGAACGAAAGTCTGTAAAGTTGTCGTAGTTTTGTCGTTATTCTCACGATGAATTAACATCAAATACACTTCGTAACTACGACGAAATAACGTCAAACTGAGCGTCAAACGCGTTTGGCGTTAAACAGCAGGTAAATTTGAAGTTTTTTTGTCGTTAAAGTGGTCCGTTTTACGTCAAAAAAACTTCAAAATGACGGTGGCCCATGGAGCTGCGAGCCAAAACAGAAGCCTACTCGCCGAGTATCGAACCGAGACCCTAGCCCACCAACGCGTTGGAGGACAAGTGTCGGAGTTCGAAGCCGCTCGGCCAAAGCGACTTGTGGCGGTCGGAGTGCATCGACGCGAACTGCTTCGCCTCGCGCTTCCCGCTCTCGCATTTTGTCGCAGCAACGTAGAGCACTTGATCTAAGTAACGCTTTTTGGGGTTTGAATCAGCTGATGTTACATAACACATTCCAGCACGGTAAAAACGGTTCCTGGTTTCCAATGAAACGTATGGTAAAGGGATTTCCAGGGAGTTCCTTGGAAAACCAGGAACCAGGCAGCGTTACTTAGATCAAGTGCTCTACGTTGCTGCGACAAAATGCGAGAGCGGGAAGCGCGAGGCGAAGCAGTTCGCGTCGATGCACTCCGACCGCCACAAGTCGCTTTGGCCGAGCGGCTTCGAACTCCGACACTTGTCCTCCAACGCGTTGGTGGGCTAGGGTCTCGGTTCGATACTCGGCGAGTAGGCTTCTGTTTTGGCTCGCAGCTCCATGGGCCACCGTCATTTTGAAGTTTTTTTGACGTAAAACGGACCACTTTAACGACAAAAAAACTTCAAATTTACCTGCTGTTTAACGCCAAACGCGTTTGACGCTCAGTTTGACGTTATTTCGTCGTAGTTACGAAGTGTATTTGATGTTAATTCATCGTGAGAATAACGACAAAACTACGACAACTTTACAGACTTTCGTTCCACACGGGACGGAGCGACGAAAACGACTCTCGGAATCGGACTGCAGCCCTTATCGGCAGGCCACCAAAACAAGGGTCGCTCCGCTCCAGCGTTCCAGTCACCGCGTCCAAAACTCCAAAACGGTCCTGGACGGACCGTGGGGTGGGACGCCGCGGCACCGCTCGGACATGACCGCCTTGTTTTCTTCTGGTGCAGATATAGCAAGTCACCGCCAATGCATTGCACTCCGGGCAGTCGGCCGGCCTGCAGGCCAGCCACGCCGCGAGGTGCGAAAAAGGCTCATCTACAGCAGCAGACTGATTCCGAGAGTCGTTTTCGTCGCTCTGCCTCTCTCGCACCCATGCGGGACGCCCCATGAGTGGGAGAGAGAGGCAGAGCGACTCGCGGTCTGCTGCAGGGGTTTCTGGATGATGGCCCCAATGCACAGTGGGCCAGAAGGCCGGCGGAGGCGGCCAAAATCCCGGTCGCGTTTTGAGCTCCAGAGTCGCTAATTACTCGAACCGAACGTGTGACCCCACCAATGGATTGCTCTCCGAACGAGGGGCGTGCACAAGGGAGGGGCGGAGGGGGCGACCGCCCCTCCCGAAGGACCCCGAAAGGTATACTTTTTAGGAAGGTTTTGGCGTATATCCCCTGGAAGTTAGGCAAAATCTCTCAAAAAATGGTCTCACCGCCCCTCCTGAGGAGGCGATCTGTGCACGCCACTGCGGTTACACGTTCCATTCGAGTCCTTTTCAGCTACTATGAAGCTCAAAACGCGTCCGGGATTTTGACCGCCTCCGCCGGCCTTCACTGAGAAAACCTTACAAACTATTTTTGGCCTTACAAAGAAAAGTAGTTGTATAACAAAGTATTTTGAGCATACATATGCTTACAAAGAAAATACTTCGTAATTTACAAACTATTTCTTCGTATAACAAAGTATTTTAGTTTGTTATACGTATGATCAAAATGCTTCGTAAGGATTTAAGAGTGTTCTGGCCCACTGTGCAACGGCACTGTCGCAAAAGTCGCCTCAAAAACCCAATGATACATCCAAGCCAATCGTCTCGTCTTGGGTGCAGAGTGGCGTATCACACTGCAACTGGATGAGCATTCGCATCCTAGACGGAGGCGCGGGCGGCGGGGAAGTCTAGGGAAGTCCCACCGCAGCCATTTCAATTTTGCAGTCACGCCCCAATTGCGAAACTGCAATGACCCGCGACGTGCACCAACAAGTCGAAAAATGTAAACAAGAGGAGACTTTTTCAATCCGCGACGTTTGCCGCATTTGCCCTCGGAGGTTTAGGTGACCCCGAACCGCGGCGGCGGCGGCGATCGCGGCGAGACGTATGGTCCTTCCCTCGCGCCTTCGCGCCTCGTCGACCCGCGTCGCTCTGTCTCTCTCGCACTCATGGAGCGTTCCGTTCGGGTGCGAGAGAGACAGAGCGACTTGCAGTGCAGGCCGCGCAGCACAGCGCACAGTGGGCCAGAAGACCGGTGGAGGCGGCCAAAACTCTAGACGCGTTTTGAGCTCCAGAGTCGCTAAATGGGACTCGAACCGAACGTGTGACCCCACCAATGATTTGCTCTCCGAACGAGGAATCCATTGGTGGGGTCACGCGTTCGGTTCGGGTCCCGTCTAGCGACTCTGGAGCTCAAAACGCGTCTTGAGTTTTGGCCGCCTCCACCGGTCTTCTGGCCCACCGTGCAGCACTAGAGTCCGGCAGGGCGACGCCAGCGCCCCCGGCGGCGGACGGCCGCAACGCGCGGCGCGCTGCCGGTCGCGGCTGCCTGGGACGGGCCGGCTCGAGAGAGAAGCCACCAGTTTGAGCAGACAGTCAGTGAGAGAAGTGCAGTGAGTGAGGCTGCGTGGTTGGCGGCAGGGAGGCCACAGGCATCGTGCCTACGTCGGGAGGAGTACAACACCGAGCCGTCGTCCGTCAACGAGGACCCCAACAAGACCGTCACCCGCGGCGGGATGTTCTCCTGAAGCCGCAAAGCAACCACAACGCCGCCCCCAAGATCAACAACATCAACAAGCAGTGAAACCCGGAAGAATCAGAAACTTTTAAAAAGCGAACTTGAACAAACTCAAAGTGACAGCCGACTTTACTGACTGAAACTAACTCCAGTGCGAGGTTTGCTCCGCGTGTTACAAGTGGAGTGCCCAGCAGGCCCTCATCCTCGTCGAGCAGCCGCTTGGACTAAACCCGCCGGTAAGTGTCAACGCCCCTCCGGCTTCCCTTTCGACTTTGTTTTGGTTGTCGGTGAGGTGCAGCTTGTCGTGGGCCGGGCCTGGAGCCCCGCGGGCCGCAGGGTGGCGGTGGCCGTGGGTTACAGCCGGCGGCGGCGTGCGCGGCGTGCTGGTGAATGAATGGGACGTGCGGCACGTGGCGCGGGGGCGTTCGGAGCCCTGCCGGCGTGCTGCCGGCGTGCGCGACCTGCCCCAACCCTCGGCGCCACGCCGCGTGCCCGCCCAGCGTGCCGCCGCGTTTGACACGCGACACGCACCGTCGGTCACCGCGACGCCGACGTCGCCGTCGACGGCGACCTGACCTACGGGTCGCCGCCGCTGGGCCAAGTTCGAGGCGAGGTGACGCAACCCGGTGCAGCATGCACGCGCGCTGTGCGTGCGCCGGCCGGGCGCGCCGGGCGTGCCCGAGGAGGCCCTGTCCGTCACGTGCAAGCTCGGTGCTAGGCCCGTGGCGGCGTGGCCGGTGGGACGGTGGCCGCGGTGTCGTGGTGGGGCCGTGTGACCTCCCCGACCGCCTCGGCCTGGCAGGCCTGGCAGCCGGCGGCGGCGGTGCCAGACTCGTCTGCCCGGCCCGGCCGTGTTCTGTTCGTGTTCCGCTCGCGAGTTCAATGAATCTGGCGGCGATCTCGTCGCGGCCGCGCCGCCTCCGCGTTTTGCGCTTGCTGTTCTAAAAGCGTCGCGAGCTTTTCTGCCAGGCTGGCGGAAAGGGAATTGGGCGAGTGGGGCAGCGGCGCCAGCGCACAGTGGGCCAGTGGACCGGCGCCGGCGGCCAAAACTCGAGACGCGTTTTGAGCTCCAGAGTCGCTAAACGGGACTCGAACCAAGCGTGTGACCCCACCGATGGATTCCTCGTTCGGAGAGCAATCATCCATCGGTGGGGTCGCAGGCTCGGTTCGAGTCCCATTTAGCGACTCTGGAGCTCAAAACGCGTCCGGGATTTTGACCAAACCCAGAGTCTGCCGACGCGTACTTTGCCTTCCTCGCGGACCGCTTCGCCAGGGCGCGGCAGTGCGACGACCAGGGTGTGGTACCAGCACGAGGCGGCCGAGAGAGAGGACGCCTTGCTCTACCTGCTGGACGGACGACGAGCTGCCATTGGCAGCCAGCCCGGCCTGCCCGGTCGGGGCCTCGGGGACCGTCCCCGAGCCGCTGGAGTGCCGCAGAGCCTCCTCGGCCGCCCCGAGGAGCGAGTGAAAGCCAAAGCCAGCCTCGTGCCGCAGAGCGCAGAGCTCCGCGTCGTCGTGGTGGTGGCGCGGGCCATCGGAGTCCGGAACAAAATAAACAGGCCAAACAGACGCGAGTTAGTTTTTCGACAAGCCCTCGGCTACAGTGCGAGACGTGGCGGCCGAACGAGCAAATAGGGCCGGAGTTCGTGAAAGGGGGACGCATCAGTGCCCGATCTCGCCGAGTCAACACACTCAGCTTTTTCGAGACTCGAAGCATCACGTGACGGGCTCACGTGCGCGCTCGCTGATTTCGATGGGTCGAAACGTCAGTCGATCAAAATAGTTCGAAATGTTTTTTTTGGGGGGGAAGGGGGTGGGGACGTAGACATGTCCCTACCCTAGCTCGGAAAGAGACTTCACCCCCCGCGTGCAATGCGGCGTCTAGTACACGTTCCGGTGCAAAATTTACGTCTGTCTCGCTCCCTCTCGCTGCACGGCCGGCCAGACTGGAAGGGCTGCTCTCTCCGCCGCGCCTACACTGCCTACGTGACCGCCAGCGCCGCGGCCCGCTTGGCGTGCTTGGGGCTTGGAGGCGGCCCCCTAGGCTTTGGGATTTACACTGGTGGGGAGCGCGTCGCACCACGTCTGCACCACGTCCTTGCCGTGCTGGCGGTGCCGTGGCGGTGCGGGCCCGGCCACGCTGCTGGGCCGTGATGCCTGGCCGGCCGGTCACTTTCGGCCTTTCGAGGCCCGTGACGTCACGACCATCTCTCCAGCGAGGCCGCGTGCTGTGTCTGCCATTGACGCAGGCCGGGCGTGGCTGGGCCGCGCAGTGAGCTAGAAGACCGGCGCCGGCGGCTGAAACTCTAGACGCGTTTTGAGCTCCAGAGTCGCTACATGGGATTCGAACCGAGCGTGTGACCCCACCAATGGATTCCTCGTTTGGAGAGCAATCCAGTGGTGGGGTCACTCGTTCGGTTCAAGTCCCGTTTATAGCTGAAAACGCGTCTCGAAGTTTGACTGCCTCCACCGGTCTCCTGGCCCACTGTGGGGGGCACTGCGCTGCAGTTCGCCCTGCGCAAACTCGCACGGAGGCGACGATAGGCGGTCCATTTAGCGTGCGCCACGGCGGGTTAGCGCATCTGGTGAAGGAGGTCGAGCCGTTTCGCTTCCGCAACCCTGACCCCTTCGCTCGCTGGTCCTGGGTTCGAATCCCGGCGCCGCTGTCCGTTTTCTCATCCTTTTTTGTTGGTCCAGCCCGTTCCCGCCCCTCTGCCGTGCTGTCTGGGTTGGTGCAGGGCGGGCACAGCATGGTTTGATCCGGCCTGCGCCGTGCCGGGCCGAGCCGGGCCGGTTTAGAAATGCAGTCGAATGCACTCGGCCGGCGTGGTGGGCTGGTGGGCCGCGTCGAGGAGTGGTGGGCAGAGCCAGGACGCCAGGATGCCGACGTGTGGGCCGCGGCGAGGCAGCGGCATGCAGCCAGCAGGAAGCAATGCCCCAGAGATGCTCTCCTCTCGAATCGGCAGAAAATGTTGCGAGCAATCGCAAAGGCCGACCCGATTCGGACTGCAGACCGATTCCGAGATTTCGTCGCTCTGTCTCTCTCGCGCCCACGGGGCGTCCCGGGTAGGTGTGAGAGGGACGGCGACGAAAACGACTCTCGGAATCGGTCTGCAGGGGGTTTCGACAGTTTGCCAATGGCCGGGTTTGTTTCGTTGGACGGCCCCGGGCCGCCCCGCCACCGCCCCGCTGGCGACATGACCTTGCCGCGAATAAGCACTGCCCCCCCACCCCCACCCCCACCCCCACCCCCACCCCCACCCGCGCCTTGCCACCGAGCCGTGACTAAGACAATGATAACGCTCACCATCTGCACCGGTCCGCATTCCCTTGCGTTCACTGCCAATCAAGCAGGCTGCCGTCTGATTCCGAGCACTGCTTTCGTCGCTCTGTCTCTCTCGCACTCATGGGGCGTTTCGTAGGGGTGCGAGAGAGACAGAGCGACGAAGCAGTGTTCGGAATCAGACGGCTGTCTGCAGGCCTCGCTCCGTCCCTCTCGCTCTGATGGGGCGTGCCGCAAGCGTGCGAGAGAGACGGAGAACTGTTGTCAGTCAAGTGTCGGGCGGCGCCTGCCTGCTACTCGTCGCGGAGGTGTCCGACGGGGTGCCCATGCCGTCTAGACCGGCCAGGGCGCCGTCTCTTGGCCGCCACACTCGAAAAGGTGTCGCCGTTGATTCACTTGAGGGGTTCCCGTCGGCGGGGGAGGGGGAGGGGGAGGGGGAGGGGGAGGGAGAGGGAGAGGGAGAGGGGGGAGTCGAGTCTAATTTGCCAAGCGGCCCTCCTTAGCGGACTGCGCACCTGATGACTCAGCTCGGCCGCGTGCCTACGGGGGTGCCAGGGGAAAGAGAGAGGTGACGGGGTTCCTGGGGATGAAAAAGGGGGGGGGGAGGCTGCCCGTCAGGAGACGTCCTCGAGATAGGCGCCACCACTGTCTGCATGCATGTGCTTCATTGGATTGCACAATCGGTTTGGTACTTTTCCGTGCGCCGCTTGTGCAGCATCGCGCACATTCATTGTGTGCATACTCGCGGAGATTAGACATTTTTTTTTCGCTCTGTTCGTGGGCGACGTGGTCGGCCGGAGCGAAGGCAGGGGTCGGGTTATCGGGGTTAGTAATTGGTCGGCCTTTGTTTTATTTCTGCGTTTCATTCTCAATGTTTGGGTGCGGATTATTCTTTTTGGCTGCGGATTATTCGTTTCGCCAGCCTGGTGCCCATCAACCTCACTAAGTAACAGTGAGAGGCTCATGCTTGACAGAGCCGTTCGTTGAGCGTCCAACCTTAAACCTTAAACCTCGTGCACAGTGAGCCACACGACCGGCGCCGGCGTCCAGAACTCCAGACGCGTTTTGAGCTCCAGAGAAGCTGAACAGGACTCGAACCGAGCGTGTGACCCCGAATGTATTCCTCGCTCGGAGAGCAATCCATTGGTGGGGTCACGCGTTCGGTTTGAGTCCCACATAGCGACTCTGGAGCTCAAAACGCGTCCGGCACTTTGACCGCCTCCACCCGTCTTCTGGCAAGTCCGCTGTGTCTCGGCGCCGCGTGCTCGCGCTCCTCGTGGTCGTCGCGCACCCCGTCTCCGCGGACACGCGGCCCGCGGCCGGCCGACGCATGCCTGCCGCGCTGCGATAAGCTACACTACTAATTCCGCAGCGGTATAGAAAAATGGTCCGTCAGCGTGTAGAATAAGGCTCGTAAAACGGACCTATCGAGTCAAATAAACGCAGATGGCGGTGTCTATTCTTGCCGCTGTGTGTGTGTGGCGGTTGTGATAAGCGGGCCGAGCACTTGGAGGTCAGTCTGTTTGCCGCTTCTTTCTCTTCGCACGCCCGGCCTGCCCCGGCCTGCCCCGGTCTGCCCCGGCCTGCCCCGGCCTACAGACTGATTCCGAGAGTCGTTTTCGCCGCTCTGTCTCTCCCGCACACGCAGGGCGTCCCCGTATGGGTGCGAGAGAGACAGAGCGACGAAAACGCCTCTCGGAATGAGTCTGCCGCCCCGGGCCGCCCCGGCATGCCCCGGCTCCGTGATAGCAGCCTTGTTGTGGTGGAGGCGGACGCGCGGACGCCGCCTGGTTTTTGGCTCTCGATAAGGGAGACGCCCTGGCCCTAGGCGACCTCCTCAAACACGGCGAACGAGTGCGCGGCGCCGCGCTGACCCCCGCGGCGACGACCTGGCGGCGCACAGTGGGCCAGAAGACGGGTGGAGGCGGCCAAAACTCTAGACGCGTTTTGAGCTCCAGAGTCGCCAAATGGGCCTCAAACTGAACGTGTGACCCCACCTGTGGATTCCTCGTTCGGAGAGCAATCCATTGGTGGGGTCACACGTTCAGTTTGAGGCTCATTTGGCGACTCGAGAGCTCAACGCGTCTGGAGTTTTGGCCGTCTCCACCGGTCTTCTGCCCCACTGTGCGGCGGCGGTCGTTATGCGCGCTGGTTCCGCTCTCTCTCGCACCTCTACGAGGCGCCGCGCGATGTGTGTGAGAGCGACTCTGACACTGTTCGGAATCATCTCCCGCGCGCCTGTGATCGACGGCGTAGGCAGCCCGCCGGGCATGGCGAGTCGCTCTGTCTCTCTCGCACCCGCACGGGACGCCCCGAGAGAGCGAGAGAGACAGACAGAGCGACGGAGGCGACTCTCGGAACGAGTCTGCGGGTGTCAGTGACTCGCGTCGGAAGCGCAATGCTGCAGCGGCGCGGCGGCGTGGCTCACCTTGGGTCGTCGTCGCGATGCGGAAGTGCACCAGCTTGGCCGGCCGTGCACCGCGGCACCGCGCCGTCCGGTCGGTCAGTGGGGTGAACGTCTCGGCTGGCTGCTCGCCGAAAAGAGCAAAAAAAAAAAAAAAACGGAAATGAAAACAAAATGAAATACGCTCCGGCGCCGCTGTCTGGCGTAGAATGCACGCGTGACCTGCAACGTGCTTTTGGAGCGGATGATTAAAAAGGGGTTTGCTTAGGCGGTTTGGCGTTCGCTTGAATATTTGCGTGTGTGCCGAGCGAGGCGGTCGCTTGACCGCTCTTGGCGCGTCCCCTCACGTGTTGGACTGGTGCGGGGCCGTTCAAACAGTGACCCGGTCGGTTCGGTCGGTTCGGTACCTCTCTCACGGTGATAGCCAACGGGGTGTCCACGCTGGCCGCGTCGCACAGTGGGCCAGAAGACCGGTGGAAGCGGTCAAAACCCCAGACGTATTTTTGGGCTCGAGTCGCTGAATGGGGCTCGTACCGAGCGTGTGACCCCATCAATGGATTGCTCTCCGAACGAGGAATCCATTGGTGGGGGTCACACGCTCGGTTCGAGTCCTGCTTAGCGACTCGGGAGCTCAACGCGTCTGGGAGTTTAGGCCGCCTCCACCGGTCTTCTGGCCCACTGTGCGCCGTCCACGGCGTCCGCGTCGTCACCGACGTCCCTATCGCCCCGCTCAGCATCTCGGGGTTATCCACACCCGGAACGGAACGGCGCAGAACGGCTGGGCTGATAGTTATCGGCAGCGCGGGGTTCGGTTTGTAATTTATTTTTTTTTCGAGTGGGGTACATGTGGCGGTACTTGAAGCACGCCGTCCATAGGCGCCGTAGGCCTGAACGGTTTTCGTCACGCGGATGTAGATACGGCTCGCTGGCGTTGCCAAATTGAATTAGATAAGTTTCTTCGAAAGTTTCCGCTCGCGTTTTTCTGGTTTGACCTGCGCCTATTTTAGTTCTTTTTTATTGGCTGAAATGTGTGCCACTGGGGAGCGCGGAGCTGGCGGAGTGCGGCCGTGGCGTTGGCTATGGCCGGGCCAGGGACGCACTGGCTAGACTGTTTGTCTAGGCGCCTGATGGGCTTTCAAGGCTTTCCCTGCCGGCGGCCTCGTCCGGCCGAGACGCGTTCAGGGCTTTCGACGCTTTCTCCCCGGGGAATCCGAACCCGCGGGCTGTTTTTACCGAGACGCGCTGACTGGGGCGGGGCCGAGCCTCGGGCCGAGCGGGGCGACAAAAGTCACTGACACGGTAATCGTGTTTACACTCGGCACTGACCTGTGCACAGCTCGTCTTGTTTGCGAGCCCGCAGTAACACGTGAGGCAGTAGTAATCCCGGCCACGTCTTGTTACGGCACTGTATTACGATCCCCCACCCCCGCCCTTTTTTTTGCGGTACTGTATGTACCTTCCCTTGACGATGCCAACGCGGATAGGATAGCGCTGTTGGTCGTTCCCTGCTCGGCTCCAACCCTTGGCATTCCCAGCGGCGACTTCGCCCTCCCCTCTCGATTCGTGTCATTGGCTCGTTCGCAAAAAGCCCCCACGGATTTAGACCGTCCGCGTGATGTGTCCTTTGGGCTGGCGGTGCTGGCCGCCGGCCGTCTCCTCTGCACTTCACAGTGTGGTCGGCTAGGTGCGCGGCGGTGCTGCCGAGTCTCAAGGTCGTCGTGGAGATGCACGGTCTTGTCTCCTAGCTCTTCCCCTCCCCCTCTAGCTTAATCTAGCAGCAGACTGATTCCGAGAGTCGTCGCTCTGTCTCTCTCGCACTCATGGGGCGTCCTCTGAAGGTGCGAGAGAGAGCGACGAGGACGACTCTCTGGCTGGCTTCGGCGGCGTGCTCTGGTTTGGACCACGTGGTGACCGCGTCTATCCGCGGCCGCGGCATGGCCGTGGCTATCTCCCTGCTCGCGGCGTCGCGTCGGCGGGGCGGCCGGCCGAGGGGCTACGCCAGGCTACGCGTTGTTTTGCGGGGACCTTGAGGTCGCCGTCGGCGCGGGGCCGCGGTTGCCGAGGCAGTGCCGAGGCCCCAGAGGTGATCGGCCTGGCCCCGCGGCCCCGCGCTGCCCCGACGGCGGCCTGGGCTTGCTTGGGGCCTAGTGGCCTGACCCGGCAGGCCTAGGCAGGCCGCCACGGTGCTATCAGGTGCGCGGCGCAGGATGTTCAACAGGCACGCCGATGACGCGCGCGGCGCGCCGCCGGCATGCTCTTGTCTAGCCGAGTCTAGCCCCGCCGGGGCACCAGCAGACCGGCCGCGTTCGATAGCCCTATCCTTGTCTCGTGGCACGTCCTGCAGGAGTGCAGGGGTGTGAGAGAGACGGAGCAACTGAGGCGCGAGGCCTCCCCCGCTGCGTTACGTAACAGGGTTCGCCTGCGCGTACCGCACAGTGGGCCAGAAGACCGGTGGAGGCGGCCAAAACTCCAGACGCGCTTCGAGCTCCAGAGTCGCTAAATGGGACTCGAACCGAACGTGTGACCCCACCAATGGATTGCTCTCCGAACGAGGAATCCATTGGTGGGGTCACACGTTCGATTCGAGTCCAGCTTAGTGACTCCGGAGCTCAAAACGCGTCTAGAGTTTTGGCCGCCTCCACCGGTCTTCTGGCCCGCTGTGTACCGTCGGTGTACCTCAGTTGTACTGCTTCGCGCGGAAGCACTTGGAGGTGCGTGACGGCGGCGTGCTCGAGCACGTTCGTCGCGGTGCTGCTCCGCGCGCCGCGTGATGTGTTGGCGCCGCGGCGCCGTGGCGTGGTCAGGGTTTGGCGGTGTACAAGCGCCACGCGCCCGCCCAGGCGCTGTTCACGTGGCCGCCTCACCTCGCGCGGTAAGTCTGGCCGTACCGGTGCCGTGCCGCCGCGGTGCCGCCGTGCCGCGGCTTTTGGGAGCCACTCGCGCACCGCGCGCTCGCAGGACCGGTTACGCTATATTTATCGCGCAGTGGATGGCGCGCGGTCCGTGGGGACATTCCCTGAGCACGCCGCCGGCGCGTCGACAGTCGACGCCGCCCCCCCGCCACCTCGGCCGCTCTGCCGGCGAAAGGCGCCGGCGCGACGGCCTTTTGGCAGGCCGGTGCCAGTGGCTTCGCGGTTTCGGCGACGGCAACGTGCTCGCGGACGCGCAAGGAGGCTCCCCGTCGGCGCGAGTCTCGCTCTCGCATGCAGGTAGGCTACCGGGTCACGGGAGGAAGGGCACCGGCTTGGCCGTCGTCGTCGGCGACGGGCGCGGCACAGTGGGTCAGAAGACCGGAGGAGGCGGCCAAAACTCAAGACGCGTTTTGAGCTCCAGAGTCGCTAAACAGGGCTCGAACGGAACGTGTGACCCCACCAATGGATTCCTCGTTCGAAGAGCAATCCATTGGTGGGGTCACACGTTCGGTTCGAGTCCCATTTAGCGACTCTGGAGCTCAACGCGTCCGGTTTTTTGGCCGCCTCCACCGGTCTTCTGGCCCACTGTGCGCGGGCGTGGGTTCGACTCCCGGCCGCAGCCGGTTTCTCCGGCTCGCCCTTCCCGTTGCCGCGCCGGCTGCATGTGCAACGCGTGCAGCAGCCGCGCGCTTTCTCTTGGGGGCGTGGGCGCACGGGGCGGGACCGAGGTTCAAATACTGTCGTTGGGAATTTTTCGGCGGTGGCGGCGCTTGCTTGCAGTGTGCTGCAGTGCCTCTCGGCCTGGCGCCTCCTCGTGCCGTGCCGCCGTGCCCGGTGCATGCGCTGCACTGCTGCGTCCGATTGGCGGCGGGGAAGGCCACGCGCCTCGCCGACGGCACTGCGATGATCCCTGCACCCACTTGATCCCCGCATGGCGATTGACAACGCCTCCCCCTGGACCCGCAGGCCCCCAGGCCCGCAGGCCCGCACTGCACTGTAGGACTGATAGCGGAGCCGTCGCCGCGGCGCGAGGCGGCGGCGTGGCGAACTAGAGTCGTAAAATGTGGAAAGGTTTGAAGGAGACGAAATGTCATGCGGATGGATCCCCCGCCCCACTTTCTTGTTCCGCTTAAAATAAATCCTTGGCCTTCGCCTTGGCTGACGCACGAGGCTAGAGTGTCTGAGGCACTGTTCTAAGCGCGCCCCCCCCCCTTTTCCTCTGGCTAGGCCGGACGTTTGGACGTCTGGTTGCGCTAGGCCCGGCGCTTCGGCATTCCTTTTTTCTGACGTCCACGTCCATCTGTTGCAGACATGCTGTGCTCCGTGGCGATGCCCGCCGAGTACGAGGTGCCGGCCTTCCACCGGCCCCCGCCCATGCGGCGCCCCGCGTCCCTGAACCTGGCCGTCAGGGTGCCGGTGCCCGCCGCGCCGCGCCGGCCCTGCCTGGTGGTGCGCGCCGGCGGCGAGGGCGAGGAGGCCGTGGTGGAGCAGAGGCAGCTGGAGCAGCCCGCCGACCTCTCGCCCACGCGCAACAAGAAGCGAGTCGTCTTCGCGGACGACGCGGGACGCCAGCTAACGCACGTTAAGGTAATTGACTTGAACGTCACAAAATGACAAATTTCTCGTCGTGCGTCGGTTTTCGCACGCGAGTGCCCTTTTGCCCTTCTAACTCTTCCGGTTTGGCGCAGGTCATGACGGAGCCCAGCTTCGCCCCGCCCAGGTGGAGCATGGCCTTCCTGGCGCAGGTGACCCGCGGCGCGGCGGCCGAGGTGTGCCCCGAGCCCTGGGAGCCCGCGTTCGCGCAGCCGGCCTCGGACTACCTGGCTTTCCGCAGCCGCCTGGACCGCGACAACGTGAGCCTGGAGAACGTGATAGTGCGCGAGGCGGAGCAGGTCGTGGTGGGCACCGTCAAGGTGCGCAACCTGGCCTTCCACAAAGAGGTAAGCGAGCCGCACGCCGTAGGGACCCACACTGGCTAGACTAGGCGCGGCCGCGGCCGCCTGGAACGGCAGCGGCCCGGAACGTGGCGCGGCCCCTCCAGAACGTTCTGCTACTGTGTCCGCGGAGGACGCCATGGGGCCCTTTGGGGGTGGTCCTGGTGACCGCGCCGCGCCACGCGGGGTAGCGCCGCGAGGGTAGGCAGCCCGCCGCGCACGCGTGGTGCCCGTTACACAGTGGGCCAGAAGACCAGTGAACTCGAGACGCGTTTTGATCTCCACAGTCGCTAAACAGGACTCGAAGCGAGCGTGTGACCCCACCAATGGATTCCTCGTTCGGAGAGCAATCCATTGGTGGGGTCACACGTTCGGTTCGAGGCCTATTTAGCGACTCTGGAGCTCAAAACGCGTTTAGAGTTTTGGCCGCCTCCCCTGGTCTTCTGGCCCTCTGTGTGTTGGGTTGCCTCCTCTCGCGGCGCGCGCCTGGTCCTGGCGGTCCTGGCCTACTCTACGCACTGCCTCTCCTTCTCGGCCGCGGCCTGACTCCGTGTTCGCTCTGCCGCAGGTGCTGGTGCGGTCGACGTCGGACGACTGGGCCACCCACGAGGACACGTACTGCACCTTCGTGCGCACCAGCGCGTCGGCCGGCGTGCCCGTCCTCTACGACACCTTCTCCTTCCGCCTCGTGCTGCCGCCCCAGTCCAGGCGCCTCGAGTTCTGCGTGCGCTTCCACTGCGAGGGCCACGAGCAGGACTACTGGGACAGCAACGGCGGCAAGAACTATGTGCTGCTCAAGAAGAACTCGCCCTACAACACGTCCTCCAACAGTGTGGATGACCTGACGGCCAAGGTGGGTTGCTGCCCTTGCTTAGAAGTTGGTAGAACGTGCTTAGCGAGGAGTCTCCTCCACCCGGTCCCATTTGCTGGCAAGCCTTACTTAATTAACAGCCCGGATGACACTCAGGACCACCAGTAGTTCCAAGAGTCTAGTCTTATGGAAATTCTGTTTACGAATTTTTTATGGTTGTTGCTGTATACATGCCACAACTGATTGGTTTTTATTTATTATTTACGCCCTTATGTAAGGCATTTAAAATTTGTTTGAGGAATAAGGGCTTAATTTTGGCACCCTCAGGCTCTGTTCTTTCTAGAGTCCTAAATTGTGGCATGCTTAATGTGGTGGTTCTGTGTGCAGCTTGCGGGACTAGCCTCCAGCCTAGCTTGGGGCCTTAGATCAAGATAATCAACTGATGTTGGCTGCTGTGCTGTGGATGTGCAGATTGGAGAGCTGACGACCGACCATCACTACACCAGCAGCTTCTCGAGTCCTCCATCACAACATGGTCAAGCTGTCTACGACAAAGTGGACTCGTGGTCAGAATTCGCTTCGTGGAATCATCTGAGTGTGGATGGACCTTATTGGTGAAGGTCTCTCTGGTCTCCCACAGGCATGCAGTCAGGCTTCACATCAAGAGACATGCGGTAAGCTTTCTTGCATTTGTCTGTAAGTAGTAGATTTGGTTTTAATTGGCACTGACTTTTGATTTCCTCCTTGTTGCAGTTTGTGTGTGGTACTTCTAAAATCTTGCCTGATTGTCGACTTTGTCGGCTCAAGTCCATCCAGACCCCCATTGTGATATCACCCGCCATGAATTGTAAATAATTCATCTTAGTGATGTATGAATTTCATCCTAAAGACTGATTTGTAAGCATAAACCATTAGTTAATTCACAGATGAATTTTCAACAAATATTAATGTGTAAATTAGAATGTTTTAAATCATAACTGGAGAAAAGTTACAGGTGTATTTTATTAGTTGATGCATGAAACAAACTTAATCAGAATGTCTGATTAACCCCGTTCAGAACTCCTGACAATGTTAAAGTGATAAATTCATGTTTTTATTCTCTCCTTTGGATGACAAAATTCCTAAACTGGCATACTTTAGCTTTCCTGTTGAGCATGGTGAATATTTGAGGATGTTTGATTATGTTTTAGTTTTGACTGTGATATAATGTGGATTAAGACAAGTGTGCCAGCAATTAAAATCTTGATAACATAGCCATGTTGGTAATTCATGTATGAAGGGTTGTTACTTTCATGAATTGACAATAGCTTGTGTGAAGTTTAAATTTTATATTAGAATATTTTTACATAAGCCATTCCAGGGTTCAGCTTTGCGGGTTTTATTTAAGGCCCGTAAAGATTATGTAGGGCTTAGATCATGGGTCATCTTCTTACTATTTGAGGACAGTGGTTGTATTGTTGTAGTGTTAGCTTCAGAGTTGCCATTATAGGAACTGTTGTGCCTTTTTATTGTGTTGTTGCTTGTTTTGTTTATGTTAAAGGCAATGCAGTTTTAAGTCTTCCAGAGCCTTATCATTCTATGGGGTTAGTTTTGAGATAATAGTATCTCTTACACCAAGCAGAACTGATCTTTTCTTTTTTTTTATTATCGATGTTTTAATGAATTTTAAGGTGTCTTTGTACTGAATCATTTTATCATTAACAAATGTAATATAGCTGTGAATATCTGCTTGTATTAATGGACTACAATAATTTATCACTCTAGTCAGTAATTTAACGAAATATTGTCATCATTTCATTCAGTCACTCCATTGTGTTTTTTTTTTTGTAAGTAAATGTGGAAAGATCCTTTTAATGAGATGAGGCTGTTCTAAGGTGACTTTAATTATGTTTTAATTTTTCATGAAAATATTAGTTTTCAATAACAACTTGTGTTTACTTCCAAATCCCTTGGGCGTTGAGAAACATTGCACTTCGAAGATGCGGTTAGATAAGCATGTACGAGTTTATTTGCATTACTGTAATTTCCACACATAAGCAGTTCAAACACGCTTTTTAACAGTTCTGCACTCCAAAACCTATCTTTTTACTTGAATAAGCATGCAGCCTTGATGGTTTTACTCATTGACCAAATTCAATATTCTGAATACGAACATAACTTTGATAAAAATAAAATAGACCAACTGTGCAGCATATTGCATGCGGGCAGTTTGAGCACACATGAAGATACACAAACTCTCATACACACACTTTATATATACAGGGACAAGGAGAAGATGACAAGATACAATATGCATTGAAGGTTGTACATGCCAAGTAAAACTGATCTTTTAATGAAACAGTCCCAACAAAGGCAGTAGAACACAAAATAAATAACATGACAGAGAGTCTCAGTGACATTACCAACTACTCAAGTATACATTCCTACTTAATCCTCACACATACTTTACAACACCTGACCTGAATTACGTATTAATAATACAATCCTTTCACATCTTTGCATTATCCTAGAGCTCCTTTGTGTGCAAGCAAATCAAGAAAGGCATCACCAGCTAACCAAAATTAACTTGGAACTAAGCCAAAGCCATGATCAATGACGAGCTGAAGAAAGCTTTAAACCATAGCACTCCAGCAATTTTTTCCAGAATTAATTGTTATATGGCAAGAAGCTTAATTTCTGTAGCATTCTCTTCGAGAATGAGTCACCTGATATGTTCTGGTAAGATTCTAAGAGCTATCACTGAAAAAATATTTTAGACTGCAATCCAATTTACTGCCCAAATAATTTCAGTACAGCTGGAATAGAAAGGAGGTATACTTCAAACAAGAAAATTAGAAAGACTACTAGACTAGACAGTGTCTACCAGTACGTTAAAAATTTCACAGTGAGTGGTTTCTGATATGCACTAATAAAATCAAAAGGGTTTAAAAATACACAAATGTTCAATAAATATTGCTTCTTGGCCAAAATGCTAATGTAAAACTTGCAGACATCCCATTGAAGGTTCAAGAAAATAAATCAGTAGCCATAGTACATGATAAAAATTCAATCAGTTGGATGTTGCAAGATTTTACCTTAAAAGTGTTTTTAAGATGAGTTTGATAAGGTTCATAGTAGAGAAACTACCATTTAATTGCCATGTACAACGAGGTCATTTTTTTCCTATCACACATCTGCTGGATTAAATCAGAATTTGGCGCTTGATTGACGGCAGGAGAAGCTTTGCTCAGCTGAATCATGGTCCCACCAGTCCCACCACCCACAATTATGGCACATACTTGAATTTACTGCATTTTTTAAACGCATCAGATTAAAGTCGATAAATCTGATGCTTAACATATAACACATCTTATATATCACATTAGGAAGATCAACTAACTAGCTCATCTTACATTAGTACTAATAGACAATATACTTTGGTTTAATGGTAACAAGTTTTAGATCAATCATTTTAATAAGTTTCCGATCCCAGATTGTATCAATATAACATACACAAGGGGGCACACGAGGCAAAGCATCAGAGCAAGAATAGAAGCACTCAGATGCATCAATCGCAATTGTTTTACAACATAATCTAGTTTGACTTCCCAGGAAACCTAAGTAGATTAGATCGCCGTTGGACATCAAGCACTTCAGTTTTCTCTACGAGGAATTAGAGACAAAGGGAGGATGAGACATGATAAATGAAGAGATTCTCTGTACCAAAAAATTTAGCTTGCTTAACAAACTAACACTACAGGAATATCTCACAATATATTCGACTAAAATTAACTATTTAAAACATTCAGTGGCCTCTATTCGGTATGAAAAGTTACTAATTAATAACTTAACCTGAGGACAGGTACGCATTCAAACTTATAGATGATAGACACTGTCATTGCAGAAACAGAGGCAAAAATACAAATTGTGCTAAAGAGTAACTCACGCATAGTGATAATTAAGATGGCCTAATAATCACAATTTTTCTGAGACTGGAAAGTAGTAGTAGAACTCTGCATGATAACTAGAGTTGCTAGCCAATGAAATTTAAAATGGAAATTGCTTAAGGTGGTACTTGATGAACAAGTAATGATGAACACATTAAAATATCCAACATATACATTATGGAGAAATAAATAATTAACAATTACAGTACAATACAATCAACACAAACAAAAAAAGATAAAAATCTATGAAATTTTCGCAAGGAAAGATTTCAAGCAATAAGACTACCCAATAACAAACTGATCCGAACAAAATTCTGGTTCAGTATAAATGTGTCGAAACGACAGCTACTAAAGCTGTCTTGACACAGAACATGCAGTTTTTACTGCTTTATAAGTGATTAGATATGTTTCAATTTCATGAGTATGAATGATTGAACAGAAGTTACTTCCTTTACTGTAACTCAAAATAAAAGAGACCATTAGATTGGATGCCATTACTGTTTGACAGCGAATGCATGATGGCAAGAGCAGAAATTAAAATAGTTCTATAAAGAAGCTTAGCTCAAAATATATAAATACTTAAAGACACTACACAGCCACAAGTCTAGTCGAACCACATCTAAAACTTTAAAAACATATCAACACAAGTTACTACTAGATGCTGGTTGCTAGAAATGACAAATAAAATTGTTACTATCTGAATCATATGATGTCACACATAAACACAGTAATACAAGCAGCTTATTACAAACAGCTACAACATGGGAGGATAAAATCATACTAGAGGTGGACGAATGATGAAACGAAAAGTTCCTTTTCCAATTTGACTCTTTTATACAGTACAGAAAACAGCCCCCAAGGAGGCTGTGAACCCATGAAGAAATATTATGCTCATCAGTCCTTTGTTAAATCACATATTCACACTCTTGCTTTGGGGCAGAACATACCACCAAACATGGGGGGAGGGGGGGGGGGGAAATCAGACAGTTGCAAGTATTTTTACACTCAGCATGAAACGAAATTAATCATGATAAGTGTTTACAGTCTTCACAATGAATTTCCGAGAGGGTCACTCATCACTCACATAGTTTAAGAGTAGCCATATACAAAGCAAATAAAACCAGCTCTGTACTGGCTCAACCTAACAAAACAGGAAACTCAAAGACAAAGAACTTTCAAGATATTCCATAAAAAAAACTGCCTCAAGTCTGTTAAAGATGTAAGTCTATTTCTATTATTACAACATTACTCTAACTGCGATTTAGCAGATACTCATTGTATTTAAGCAAGTATGAAGGTATACTGATTAATCACTTACTCTTAGGTCAGCATTAAGCTGTCTTCAGCCTTTTTTCTGACATCCCAATCCCAAAACAAAACAACAAAAAGTACCAACATCGGTACATCTTAATAGCAACATAATTCATAGGCTATACAGGGCAATTGCTCTACTTAAATGACAATGAGATTGCACTCCAAATATATAAATTAAATTATAACAAAATATTAAAAGCTCAAACAAAAAAAAAATCACAAGGTCAGCTAAAATGAGTGTAGCACACATTTTCCAGCAGTAGAGTCACATTTCTTCTGAAGACTGACTGAAAGACGAGTTCAAAGAAAAGATTTGTGCACAAATCAATGTTTTTACATGCCATGTGACCTAGCTGCTCTCACATGTGCTACTCTCATCAAAGGAAGGCCTGAATAAAATGTAAATTTGGTACTAATGCAGGGAAATTACATATACAGTAAAGCACACTTTTTTGTTTTAGCTAAAAAGTGCTGGATTCATTGGATACAAGGGACCTCCTAAACTGAAAATAAATTATCTTTTTATCCAATAAGTAGAGGACATTAGCCCACTTACTACATACAATAGAGAAGAAGAGGTCCAGGACAAGTAGTTAACAATGATACATATGGATATGGTTCTTATTTTTTGGTGTTAATATCTAAAATTTGTAGGTCTAAAGAAAAAAATAGTTAAAAATCATGTTAACCTGTGAACTAAGGAAGCATCAGATAAGAAATTATCCTTGTTACAACAGGACATGACATGATTGAAAGTTCCACTGCGGATTCAACTAGAATTCGATACTACGAAGTACGTGTCTGACAATGTTTCAACTTAATTTAAATTCATAACTTTTCCAGACAATATACACACTGTGAAGAAAGCTCCATTTGGAAATACAGTTAATTTATAAGATGCACTTCAATACAAACAGTCCCTAATATGCTGTTAACATATGCTGATCAACCTTGGATGGTTCTCATAGGAGTTGTACGTACATAAGATAGCCAAATGCAATATATAACTCTAACATGATCGAAAGGCAGATCTGGACTTCAAATGTATTAACACAGGTTTACTAATAATTACAGTACAGTTATCTTCTTGAAAATGCATTATGAAACACAGGATGTACAATAATTCACCATGAATGGACGCTGATCAGAATTTTTAGGTCAAAATTGCCAACTGTTTGACGATACGGTCGGCCATATCTCAAATATCTCAGCGAGTTAAATCAGAATGAATTATTGGCCACCCTGTACATATGTGCAAAATGCCTAACAGTGCTTATGGGCTCATGATGATTAAAATAAAACTAAAATCACCACTAACAAGAAAGAACACAAGGACTTACACAACATTTTGTGTTGGATTGCCAGGCTTTACTTCTTGTGGGGATTCAGGACCATCAATGACTATAACCTCAGGCACTTGCTTTACAGTCTGCTTCTGTATCTGACCCATAGCTTTCATCTTTTCCAGTTCTCTCTGTCGCTTATGCATTGCAATACATTTTAACCGGCTGCAGACAACACAGTCTGGTGTCTTGCAGTGTTTCCAGTGGCACATTATTCGCCTTGACGAGGAACAGAAAGGGGCAACGCAAGTGTACCCATCGGTGCACATTCTCATATGCGCCTGCACTTTTTTCATGACGCTGCAGAAAGGAACTGGACACTGCAACAGAAAACAATAAAAATCAATGTGTTACTTCCAACTTTTGAAAAAAAAATTATGTGAGTGGTGCAAAAGCCAGTTTTGATAAAATGCTTACTGGAAGTTTGGTGACAACAGCACGTTCACATTTGTAAGCATGAAGTAGCAGAATCAGATGTTGTTGAATAAGCTTTTTCTTTTGAGGTGCGAGCCCTTTTGAGGGAGGCTTTGTTGTAATACTACTTTCATCGTGGGAGGCTCCCTCAATAATTGGACCTCCACTCATGGGAAAGGCTGGTAGAGGAAGTGCCGCTGATTCAGATAAAATATCAGCAAACCCCATATCAGGGACTCCAAACCACTTGGCTCCATCACTTCTTGATGGGTGGGAGGCCCCTTTGCCCTCCGGGTGTCCCGCATCGATCCAAGAAGGTGGTTCCTGCATCAGAAAACAAACAATAATATTAGGGGTTTGGAGCCTTTCGTTTAGTTGGACGGGATGAATGCACCAACTCGCCTTGCTTTGTTCACCCTCTCCCGTCACCTCGATTTCGTCCACTTGAGCTGTTGTAACATCCATGTTTCCACTCTCTGGAGATGCCCCAAATATTTCAAAAAGAGATGGTTCACCTGATTTTGCGTATTTGGAAAGCACATCAGTACCATGACTTGGATTGTGAGAACTTGACATGGATTCCGGAGGCAGTGACACTGTTTTGACAGCAGCTGTCTTCAGTAAACGGGCTGTTTTGAAACCTTGTGACATATACCGTGACATAATATCTGCTTTTCGAGGAGGTGCATCTGTTGAATTTGACGAGGTTGGCGAATACCTAGCAGAAAGAGGCAGTAAATTAGTGGAAAGTTAAACCAAAGGGACAAACAAAAGGATACCAACAAGAGTTCCATTGTCTGCTGGGCATATAATAACAAAGTAACAGGGCCTCTGAGGCCACTGCTGCGTGTTGTGCGGGCCCCGATCCCGTCGAAAGTAGCGCAAAACACGTTCCGATTCCTCGGGAAAGCCCCAAACGGCCCCAAGAAAGAACTGGCCAAGGTGGGCGGGTAGCCTCCCGTGTTGACCCAGTGACAGAAGCGCCCTGCCCTGCCAGCCCTGCCCAGACACAATGAATGGAGGGATGCACTCGCCACTTTACCTGGCTGGCAGACGCTTCTCTCGCTCGGACCGGCGCATTTTGTCCAAAAGTCGGCCTCTGGCACACGTAGCGGCCGTCCAGATTCCTAGACAGAAGCCGAAAACGGATGAGTGGCAGTAGTAGCAGCCAACAGCCCCGTACGGCAGCAGACCAGCAGACAGCGGAGCAGACAAAGAAAGTGCACGGGGAGGCCGCCCCCCGCTCGTCCCGCCCCTGCCCCGCCCCTGCCCCGCCCCTGCCCCGCCCCCTCGCCGGGTCGATACCCACTGCTTTCACACTCTCCGCACAACGACCTGCCGCCGCGGTCACTGTTGGCGGGCTTCGCGCTTCGCGTCTGCAGGCGATGCTGCCGGGAACGTAGCGGCGGCTTTACTCGAAACAACTCCAATTTCGCGACATTTATTGGAGACGCGTCTCGCTTTCGGTCTCGGTCCGTTGGTTCAAAAGGACAAGGACGGAGACGGAACAGCGAAGGAGCAATCGTCATTCACATTCACATTGGGGTACACGTCGCGTATGAGAATGTTATGACTCGCGGTATGAGAAGTTGGGTGGAACGCTCACCCGCCAAGTTTGAATCGTTCGGGTGGGATAGCAGTGCTTTTGTGCGGTCTCTGTCTCTGGTCAGCGTCGTGCCTTGTGAGAAAAAGCTTCGAGGGCGAGGGGTGACGCACTGTAAATCTCGTGTACAACGATCGCGCGAATGTGTCAGAATGTGCGAAATTCCTGTCGTTTTGCCACACGTGTTGCCACCTGAATGTGGAATGGATCCAAATTTTTTACAATGAATGTGGGCAGTTGTTGCCCCCTCCAAAAGTCTCGTTTTGCAACAATGAGGGCAGCACGGCGCCGCATTTAAATTACATACACATTTCCCGAAAACTTGAGAAATAATTTCTTTTTGAGGACATTACCCACATTCAGAATCACAGAGAAACCGTTGCCGATTTGCTGAACATGATTAAATTGCAATCCTATTCGCGAGGACTCTTGAGTGCAGAGTGCACGCGTGAGTGGAGGTCCCCCACTGGCCCACTGGCTAACTGGCCCACTGGCTAACTGGCCCACTGGCTAACTGGCCCACTGGCTAACTGGCCCACTGGCTAACTGGCCCACTGGCTAACTGGCCCACTGGCTAACTGGCCCACTGGCTAACTGGCCCACTGGCTAACTGGCCCACTGGCTAACTGGCCCACTGGTCGACTGGCCGCTGCGCGAAGGCCTACGCCTGAAGCACGGGCAACACAAAGCACATCGCGGCCGGCAAAGCAGGAAGCCGGCTATGGAATGGAGGCCCCGCGCCCCGCGAGCGGAGTAGAGCTTCCACCTGCCCCCGGTAGATGGCGCCCGGCCGCGCTCAGCCCAGCAGACTCATTCCGAGAGCCGTTTTCGTCGCTCCGTCTCCCTCGCACTCATAGAGGACGCTGCAGTGCGAGAGAGACAGAGCGACGAAAACGACTCTCGGAATGAGTCTGCGGGCCGGCGAGCCGGAGGCAGGCGCCCGACGGCGGCAACCCCGGCAAACCGCAGAGCACCCCTGTCGAGCGGGCTTGCCTACCCACACGGCGTTTGCCGCTGCTGACCGATACCGAGTGACTCCGAAGCCGTCTGCCGAAGCTACTGGCAACGAATGGCCGTAAAAGGCTCCGCCGAGGGGGAAACGACTTCGGTTATCCGATGTACAGCAAATTGGTTATCCGCTATCCGGATAACCAGAAATTTCGAAGTAATCCGGGGAAATTCTGAGGTAATCCGGGGAAATTCTGAGGTAATCCGGGGTAATCCGGCGCAATCCAACGGTAATCCTGGAAATTTTTTGATGTAATCCGGAGGTAATCCGCGGGTTATCCGGGGTTATCCCTATCCGATGTACACAAAATTTCTCAGTCGTTTCCCCCTCGGGCTCCGCACAGCCCCAAAAATAATAATAAAAAAAAAACTTTCCGTTCTGAATCCGGAAGGCAAAGTAGTATAAATGCAGCGTGAAAATATACTGAGACAACAGAAAACCTACTGCACTCTGAACAACCAACCCTCCTGGCACGTTAATTTGATTGCTGCCGCGATGCACATAGTCCACTCACAGTGCCCCCCCCCCCTTCCCCGCCATAGCGCACGCTGCATCGCTGCAGCACAGCGGCACCCGACCGCATCATTATCCCAAAAGCAATCGGAGTCGCGTCGAGGAGAACGGGGAGAACGGGCGGGCCGGCCATGATTTCATTTCGCGGCATGAGCAGTGGCCCGCGGCGCACATCAAACGGCAGCGTCTCTCGCCGCACAGTGGGCCAGAAGACCGGTGGAGGCGGACGAAACTCCAGACGCGCTTTGAGTCTCAGAGTCGCTAAATGGGTCTCGAACCGAACGTGTGACCCCACCAATGGATTGCTCTCCCAACGAGGAATCCATTGATGGGGTCACACGTTCAGTTTGACTCCTGTTTGGCGACTCGGGAGCTCAAAACGCGTCTAGTGTTTTGGCCGCCTGCGCCGATCTTCTGGCCCACTGTGCGGAGGTGTCGTGAGGCGCTTTATTGGTGACTCATTAGACTGCTGCACTCGGAAAATAATCAGTCGCAAAACAAAGGAGGGAGGCGCGCGACTCGATTGGAACTCTGATTATGCCGCACCGTATCCGTTGTTTTGTTTGCTGTATTCGCTATTCGCCCATTCCGCTCACGGCCGTGTGTGCGTTACTGCGTTACTGTTACTGCGTTCGTGTGTGCGTTCGATCAGCAGTCACGCAGCCAGGCGTGCTGCGGTGGGCCGGGGCGGGGGCTGGGGCGGGCTGGGGCGGGCTGGGGGAGCTCCAATGGATGTTGTAGTGCGCGTTGCGTGGCGTGGCGTGGCGTGGCGTGGCGTGGCGTGGCGTGGCGTGGCGTGGCGTGGCGTGGCGTGGCGTGGCGTGGCGTGGCGTGGCGTGACGTGGCGTGGCGTGGCACACCAATCGGTCATCGCGGTCAAAAGCGGAGGAAGCCCTCGCCACCCCCGACCTATTTAGAAAAAGAAACACACCGCAATTTTTTAAAAACAAATTCGGCGGCGAGAGAGAAGTGATAAAGCGTTTTTCTGGGAAAATTTGGAGGACGTTGACGGCAAAGTCCCTTGACATGAGGGAGCCGAAGTCGTCGTCGTCGCGGAAGCAGCAAGCGGCGAGCGGCAAGCGGAAGAGTGGCTGTCATTTAAAATTCAATCTCTAATTTGTGTAACCGTGTTCGGAGCGCCGCGCTGCGAGGCTAGCGAGGGAGTTAGCGCTGCGGAGTTGGAGTTCCGTGGCCCTGGAGTCCACCGAGTCCACGCCCTGGAGTCCCTCGTCTGCTTGACGGGGCCTAATAGTGCGCGTGCCCGACGTGCGTGGCGGCAGGGCGGGCAGGGCAGGGCAGGGCAGGGCAGGGCAGGGCAGGGCAGGGCAGGGCAGGGCAGGGCAGGGCAGGGCGGGCACGGCCTCGATGGCCACCAGTTGAAGCGGCGAGGCGTGGTGCCGTGGCGTGGCGTCGTGGCGTAGCGCAGCGTGGCGGCAAGCAGGCCAAGCCGACCAGACTGCTGCCCCCTCTCCCCCTCCCCCTCCCCACTGACTCCAGCGCCGTAAGCGCCGTGGCCCCACCCAGCTGGTTGCTACCCCCTGCGACAGGACGGCAGCCGCGCCGCCACTCGGCCAGTCTGACTCTGTACGCCGGGCGTGCTCCGCCCAAGGCAACCAAGGCCCCGAAGGCCAGCCGGAGCCGCGCGGCCACGCGGTCCGATACGCAGCGCCGTCATGACGAGCGTCGCGGTTGACGGCGTCCCTCTCGTGCCGAGGACGGCGTCGTCGCGCCGCCATGACCGACCCGCGTGCCGCGCGCGGTGCTGAAGGCCCTGTCCGCGGCAAGGCGACGACGCCGACCCTGCCTCTGGCCGCGGCGTCGGACGTCGACGTCCCCCCGCGACGCGCGTCCCTGCCGACAAGCAGCGACCGCCGGCCGCCGGTGCTGGCCGTGCCGCCGTGCGCCGAGCATGGCTCCGGCCAAGGCCCCGGCACGACGCCCGGCTCGGAGGCGGCGACCGTCGCCCTGGACGCCCTGGACCACAAGCCTTCTCAGCTGGCCGGCACCACGGCCGCCGACCACCGCGCCGAGGCGCTGAGCAGCACCGCCGGCAAGGCGCCGCACCGCGCGCGCCATGGCGGTGCCGCCAAGCTAGAAGGCCCCAGGAAGGCCAAGCTCGCCGAGGCCGACATGGCCGCCGCCAAGGCCGAGGCCTCCGAGCCCGCGCCGGCGGCGGACCCCGGAAGCCTCCCTGCAGGCCCTGCCGCCACCCCGGCGGTGCGGCCTCGCGACATCGCCCTGCAAGGCGTGCCGCCGCCCGTCCCGGACGACAAGGCCAAGCTGCCCAGGGCGTCGACGCCGTCCGACCGGCGGCGCCTCAGCACGCTGCTCTCGGCCTCCACCGCCACCTCCGTGGACTTACCGCCGGCAGCCTCTTCTGGGGCCGGCGGACCCTCGCCGGCCACCTCACCGTCCTCTGCTAGGAAAACGGTGGTGGGGGCCGCGACGACGGAGGTCGCGGCGCCTGAGGCCGCGGAGGCCAAGGGGGTGGCCGACGCGCCCCTTCTCAAGCCCCCCGTGCCCACGTCCTTCCCTGCGCCCATCTCGCCGGCGGACTCCTCCACCAAGAAGCCCCGCCGGTCGTCCGCGCTGCCGGCCGGCGGCGGCGACCCCGGCCAGAGCCAGCCCGGCGATCGGCTGCTGGGGGCGCTGGGCATGCCGTTCCTCTTCCCGTCGCTGCCCATGAAGCAGGAGCAGGAGGAGCAGCAGGCTCGCCTCAGCGAGGTGGGTGACGCCCCGACCGCCACGACCGCCATGACCGCCACCAACACAGTGGCGCAGTCAGACCGCCCATCCCATGAATCAGTGCCACCGCCAGGCGGATGCTCTGTCTCTCTCGCACTCGACGGGGCGGCGCCTGGGGGTGCGAGAGAGACAGAGAGGGAGAGAGAGCGACAGCCCCCCGGCTGTAGCGCGCGCCGTCCCCCGCGTCCCCCGGGGCCAGAGCATGATTGTCCCGCCCTTAGATCCCCGCCATTCTTACTCGCCCGTGAATATTGCAGTGGTGCAGCGCGCAGCGCGTGCACAGCGCGGGGCTGGCTGGCTGCAGACTGATTCCGAGGGCCGTTTTCGTCGCTCTGTCTCTCTCGCACTCATTCGGCGTCCCCTGTAGGTGCGAGAGAGACAGAGCGACGAGAACGACTCTCGGAATCAGTCTACTGGCTGGCTGGCTGGCGGTGGCGGTGGCGTGGCACGAGGCTGCACGTCGTTACAGCGCCGGGGCGCGCGGCTGCGGATTCGTCACGCGTCAGTGCTGCAGTCGCATGCACTCACCCGGGCAGCCGCGGCGCCGCAGCCCCGCAGCCAGTGCGCGCCACACCACTAGCAGGAGCAGGAGCAGGGGTCCTATGTCAAGAGTGTGAATATGCGTCCGCCGTCCGCCACAGGCAGGAAGCAGGAGCGTTTGTGAGTGTGTGTGTGTGTGTACGTGTGTGTACGTATGTGTACGTGTGTGTGTGTGCGTGTGTGCGCGCGCGTGTGTGTGTGTGTGTGTGCGCGCGCGCGCGCGTGTGTGTGTGTGTGCGTGTATTCGCGTGCTTAGGATTCAGGAGGGGGGGGTGCTTGGACGCCACAGCGCCACAGCACGCCGCGAAACGCTTAGCACATGCGGATCTGCAACAACCTCATCTCCATCTCCCCCCCTTCTCCCCCCTCCTCCTCTCCCCCCCCCCCCCCCCCCGCCCCCAGCCCCAGCCAGAGCGCACGGCTGGCCCTTTAGATCATCAAGCTGCAACTCAGTACTTACTCAGTTTTTTTTGGCGAGCAGACCATCTGACGAGGAGGAGGGGGAGGGGCATATGAGCCAACGCCGACGCATATCGCTCCGAGGGGTCTATCAAGAGTACGGAGTTCGGAGAGCTGAGCTGTGTTTTTTTGCCTATTTCCACCCGATTGCCCCACAAATGGCCTACTTGAAAGCTTTTTTTAAAAAAAAATAAAAATAAAAAAATGGTATGATCCAAAGTTTTAGTGAGTTCACAGGTTCGGCGTGTCCAATGAGTACGAGTGCAAGGGGTGGAGGATTCCTTTTTGCATCGCTCCGTCCGTGTTCCAGTCGGTTTCACACCCAAAAAAAAAAAATGACTTCTTGGATCAAGAAAAATTTAACTTTTCTTGGTTTTTACAAGAAAATTTTTCTTAATCCAATTTCTTTTTCTTGAATAAAGAAAATTTTTCTTGTGTTAAGATTATTTCTCTTACAAAAATTAAGAAACCATTTTTTTTGGGTGCAGTCTTGAGCCAATGTCATGGACCGGCTTGAGGCCCGGCTGCTGTGTCTGCCTTCCCGACCAGACCCTTTTCTGGGTGGGTAGGGGCCGCCAGCAAACACGTCCGTCCCTCGCTGGCCCCCATGTCGTGGCCGTGGCGGCGTGGCTCGGGTCGCCGTGGCTCGGGTCGCCTCAGGTAGGACTCTCCACGGCCTCTCCACGGCCTCTCCACGGCCTCTCAAGAGACTATGAATGAGAGAGATGTGTATTTTGCCGGACCTGCTGGATCCGCTCTCGGAGCCGGGCCACAGTGGGCCAGAAGACCGGTGGAGGCGGCCAAAACTCTAGACGCGTTTTGAGCTCCAGAGTCGCTAAATGGGACTCGAAGCGAGCGTGTGACCCCACCAATGGATGGCTCTCCGAACGAGGAATCCATTGGTGGGGTCACACGCTCGCTTCGAGTCCTGTTTAGCGACTCTGGAGCTCAAAACGCGTCTCGAGTTTTGGCCGCCTCCACCGGTCGTCTGGCCCACTGTGAGCCGGAGCCGGGCCGAGCCGATGAGCCCGGCGGGGCAGGCAGGGCCTGCAGCCCAGAGCCCCGGCCATCCCGGCCCGGCCGTGGAAAGGAGGGGACAAGAAAATCAGTCTCAGGAGAGCTTTATCTAGCAGCATCGGGGCAGGGATAAGGCGATGCGGTGGAGGGGAGGCTTGACGCCACGCTACACGCAAAAAAAAACAACAACAACAAGGAAACTCTCACAAATAAAAGAAGGGAGACGGGTTGTCAAAAAGCAAAACTCGCACACCTATCGCCTCTCTCGCCGAGAATAAGTTTGGCTGCCGCTCCCGACGTTCGGTTTGCCCGCACGGCGAGTGTGTGAGTGTGTGCGTGCGGCGTTCTACGCGTTTGAATCAGTCAGCATGTCGGCCATGTCGGCAGTGGCAACCGACTCACTTTTTCATCAAGGCTCGGCACGGCACGGCACGCCACGCCACGCCACGCCACGAGAGCGGACCGTGCGTTCATTATGCATCACAGGGAAGGGACGAGAGATGGGATAGGCGGCAGAGAGATAGATACAGGGCCCACTCCCACTCGCGTCGTGAGTGTGTGTGTGTGTGTGTGTGTGTTTGTGTGCCTGTCTGTTGTAACTCTCTCTCTCTCTCTCTCTCTCTCTCTCTCTCTCTCTCTCTCTCTCTCTCTCTCTCTCTGTGTGTGTGTGTGTGTGTGTGTGTGTGTGTGTGTGCGTGCGTAAGGGGGGGGGGGGCGTTCAGATGGCTCGTCTAATAGTTGGTGAACTTGGAGACCGCGGCATTGCCTGGACGTCGCGATGGGGTCCTCGGGGCGCCGGGGCGTGCGGTGCGGCGCCACGCTTGCGGACTCGACTGTACAGTGTGGCTGCCGCACATACAGGATCATCAACAACAGCGACAAAAGAATAAACTAAAACAACGGAACAATCTTTTTAAATGATAATGACCGCGGTAATGATCATGAATATGCTAATGACAATGATAGCGCGGCGCGCTAATGATAATGATTGTGGGGACGCCAGGTGGGTAATTAGTCTTCTTCTCCTTGAGCAAACCCGACCGCCCCGGACCACCCCCGTCCCCCTTTCCACTCCGTTTCGCTGACCTACACACCCCTCCCATTATTTCTGCTTACCGTCCCGCTCCCCCCCCCCCCAGTCCCTCACGGTGGAGTGCACTCCACACGGGGGAGGGGGGGGGGGCAGAAAAAGAAAGCCACCCCCTCGGCCCCCTTCGGCGTAATAACCTCTGTCGCCAAACACGCCTGGCTCTGCGACGCTCTGCGAGGCGCCGTGCCTGTATGCCTGCGGCCTGCCACCGTGGCCGGCCCCTCCCCCTCCGCCCCCTGATGTGCAGCTCCAGAGACACGCGTCGCTCCAAAGGGCTGTTCTCCGTGGCGAGCGAGGCGTTGCCGATGGCGCCGAGCCGCGCCGAGCAGCCGTTGTTCCAAGGGGCCACGAGGGGCAACACGTGCCAGCAGTGCTCCGCCACGCCACGTGCCCTACCTGTCTGTCCGCCTGTCCGTCCGTCCGTCCGTCCGTCCGTCTGTCTGTCTGTCTGTCTGTCTGTCTGTCCGTCTGTCTGTCTGTCTGTCCGCCCTGAATGGGCCTGCACTGCTCGGCGCGCTCCCGGTCGCGAGGCGGGCCTGCTGTCGTAGAAATTCCGCGCAAAACTTCCAATTGTGCTTCTCAGTGACGCGCTGGTCTGCAGAGCGAACGGCAGGCCAGAGGACCGGTGGAGGACGTAAAAATTCTAGACACGTTTTGAGCTCCAGAGTCGCTAGACAGGACTCGAACCGAACGTCGTGACCCCACCAGTGGATTGCTCTCCGAACGAGGAGTCCACTGGTGGGGTCACACGCTCGATTCGAGTCCTGTTCAGCGACTCTGGAGCTCAAAACGTGTCTAGACTTTTATCCGCCCGGTCTTCTGGCCCACTGTGGAGTGACCGCAGGAAGGGACGGTGACTTTGGAGGGCGAGGCACGCCCTCTGGGCCTGCAAGGTCGGGCCGGTGGGCCTCGGTGCGGTGCCGGCCACGGCCACACACCTGCGCGTCGATGCTGGATTTGCACCTCCTCTCCGCCTGGCCGTGGGGGCCGTTGCGTACTTGGGGAGTCCTCTTCGTCCCCGCGACCGCCCCGAGGGACTCTGAGCCCTCCCTTCGTTTCAGCCCCGATCCTCCGTCCGGCTCCCCCCCCCCCTTCCCTCGCCACGGCCGCCCGGCCCGCCCGGCCCACGTCTGTCTGACAATGTGCAACCCCATGAAGAGACTGGGGGATGCTGAATAAGTAACCAGCCCGGCCGGCCAGGCCCCACAGTGGGCCAGAAGACCGATGGAGCGGCCAAAATTCGAGAGGCGTTTTGAGCTCCAGAGTCGCTAAATGCGACACCAACCGAACGTGTGACCCCACCAATGGATTCCTCGTTCGGAGAGCAATCCATTGGTGGGGTCACACGTTCGGTTCGAGTCCCATTTAGCGACTCTGGAGCTCAAAACGCGTCTAGAGTTTTGGCCGCCTCCATCGGTCTTCTGGCCCACTGTGCTCCGCTACTCCTCTCGGGCATGGCGGCACGGCCTCAGCGATTATTACTTTTTCGCGTGGCGTGGCAGAAGAGCCGAGGCCAGGCCCGGCCGGGGAGTCGGTTGTCGGTCGCCGGCCTGGCCGAGCCCCGGAGAGGCAAATTACGCGCTCCGAGGCCGTGAAGGCAGCTGGGTGTGCAGTTTTTGATGCCTCGGCCGCGGCCCGCCCTGGCCCGGCCCGGCCCCGCCCCGGGTATGCTAAGTGGATGGAAAAGGGCCGCTTCACTTTGCGGGTTCAAAGCGGCCGCCGTCCCGGTCTGCGTCTCGGGCGGTGGCAGCCACAAGCAGCCACAAGCACCACGCACGGGCCGAAAGAGGTCGAGAATCGAATTCTTGGATAAGTCACCCCGCCTTCGAGTCGAGATGCATGTGCTTCTGTCGTCCCCTCTCGTGTGGTGACC